CGATGAGATGGTTGAGTATTTCACCTCGACCACGGCGACGTATGATGACTTGAGTGACTTTTGCCACCATATTGAGAGTGAGAGTGACTTCACCACTAGCCCCATATATGATGTGTTGCCACAAATCCCATGTGAGGAGAGCCACAACCCCCACCACTTGAGTGAGATGAGTGACTCCACCATACATGAGTTTGAGTGCACCTATTTTGAGGGAGTGAGTGAACCACCACATAGAGAGAGTGAGATAGTTGATAGGTCATGTGAGGCCACTTTCAACACTAACGACTTGACCTCTACCTCTATTGTGCCTTCTCATTTGGTGCTAGGTCCCATTTATGATGACGCGCCGACCCTCGACGACTTTGTCCTCCCTTTGGACAAACCGATGGCCATGGTGGAATATGATGCACCCCCCACATGGTTCCATCAAGATGAAGATGACCACCGTTTGGTCTTTCCCACCTCACCTACAACACTTGAGTGGAATGAACAAGGTAACATAGGTGAAGGTGATGCTCTAGTCCCACTAGTGGACATTCTTGACATTGATTGCTTGCATGATGTTGATCCACCTAGTACCTTGCTTCATGCTAGTATGATTTCCCCATGTGATGATTTGCCCATTTATGATGAATATGATGATTCTCATGTGGAATCTATTAGTAGTGATGCCATGTTATATAGGATTTCTTGTGACAATTCTTTAGGTCACATCATGTTTGCTAATCCGCTTGACTTGTCATATGCTATGCATGAGATCAATCATATGTCATATTTGCAATCTCTTCATAGTGACTATGCATATGCCCTTAAAATAAACCCAATTTGCACTTATGGCATAGATGACAAGCCCATGGTTATTGGCATTTGTTTTTCTTGTGATGATATTGATATGCTCCCTTTGCATAATTTATCTCATATGCCATGCCATGCCCACCTAGCTTCGGATATGCATTGTTTTGGATGTTGTCCATTTTCTCCATATGATGTTTCTGCTATTGCTCATGAGGAGACCCCCATAGTTTCCTCATACATGTTAGGAGAATTTGATACATCCCATTCATTGCATGATCCCCATACTTGTGTGCACCATATGCTCCCCATGAATAAACATGCTATTAATGTGCCATATAGTTGCATGCTCAATTTGCATCCCCATCGTGTCATACAAAATAACTATTCTTTCATGATGGATGACATGTTCTTATACCATGCATCAAATTTCTTTGAGCATTTCTTATCTTGTGCTAACTCACACGTGCACATACACATCATGATGGATGATGTGTACATTTACCACGCGCATAATTTCTTTGGTTTGTGTCTATTTTGTGTAGGTACCCATGAATACTTGTCAACCTCGCAATCCCACGAGTTGACAAAACGAGCTCTAGAGAGCAATGATGCCTTGGGATCCCATGGATTGTCTTTCCCACCGCTCTCTTCGCGTAAAGACGTCGTGCATTCATTCTACATGGCCCTCACTTGGCTATGGGTTATTGTTCATTACATATCATATGCCCATCTTGCCATGTTCACTTTGCATGATATGCTCATTCATATGCCTTTGACATGCATTTGCGACCCATACTTTGCATTACACATGATGATTGATTCTAGTACTTGTATGTGTATTTGCAAGCTTGGTGGAGATATTGCTTGTTCTTGCCATGTTCCTTTTGTGCACCATTCCTATGATGACACTTTCATCTTGGTTTGTGTTCGTGCTTGCTCTATGTCATGTGCATTGTCTATGCCTACTATTTGCTCACATGACATGATTGCCATGATTTACTCTAGTGTGTTGCATCTTCGCTCCACTAGTTTACACGTTTTGATTACTATGCTTGCTTATGTTGCATCACCCATGATTCATACTTGCTCATCTCATGCGGTTGATGACAACCATCTATATGCTTTGCACATGATTCATATTGCTTTTTGTCATATATCTCCATGTGTTGCCTCTCTCATGCTAGATGATTTGCCATGTATTGAGTGCAACAATGCTTATAATCTTGCTCATGAGATTGCCCCCATAGCATTCTCACATATGTTTGGAGATTTTGACATATTCCTTGTGAAGCATGCTTGTCTTATCTATTTGCATCATATACCTAGTGCCTTGAATATTGGCATTGTTGCATCATATTACTCATGCACTTGTGCTTCTAATGGTTATGTGCAAGAGAAGAGAACTATCATGATGGATGATGTGTTTATCTACCATGCGCATATGTTCTTTGTCTTGTTTTGTACCTGTGTAGGATACTTGGACTTTGTGTCGACTTCCACTTCACGTGAGTTGACCATTCGAGCTCTTGAGAGCGAGCCTCTTACATTCTACCACGGCTCGCTTCTACACCACATTTCCTACCACTTCGGCATTGTGAAGAATGCACAAGGACACATCTTCAAGGTGACATCATTCTTGAGCTTGGATATTGTGGATCATACTTCATGTATTGCTTGCACCATTTGCACGCATGTTCGACATATTGCTTTCACCCATGATTGCCACATTTCCATGCTTCATGATATATATACCTTGTGTGTTGCATCCAATTCTTGGACTACTTGCTACTATCATATGGTTGGTTGCACCAATGTCATTTCTTCACATATGCCATGTCCCTTTGCTTGTCACATGATTAACTTGATTGCCTCACACTTGATGAACAATTGCTCTTTATATTGTGTTGAGTGCCACAATATATTCAATACACCCTATGCACATTATGCTTGGATTGTCTTGCACTTGACCCATGTGTTTAGACACTTCATTTTATTTGGTGTTGTGAATACTTCCTATGCCTACCATAGACCTTTCATTGAGCAATTTGTGAATGCTAGCTATGACCTTGAGGTAGATGCTTATTCTCTTGACACACATATTTGCATCTCTACCTCCCATTTACATGCTTGTCCCCATGATATCTTTGATTGTGCTCAATTTTTGCGATTACATGCCATGTCACAATCCTTTGTCACACAATTTGCTATGCTTGATGACGACACTTGTTTGGTGAATCACCTCTTGAATGCTTGGTTTTGCACTAACGCTAACCACATTTGTTTTTCCAAGTGTTTGTTCCATTTGCTCCTTTTGAAGGAATCACAAGACGGTGCGACATTGGAGAGTGCCCATTTGGAGCTACTAGACGATGAGTGCTTGGTGATCGACCACTTCGACATGGCACCACCATCTCTTTCCCATGGTGATTTGGTTTTCGATCCGAGGTCGGATCTTTTCCAAGGGGGAGGGGATGATGCGGAGCATCCTACGGTCATCACCATGTCAAGAGTCCGTTTGGCAAGTGACACGTGCGTCCTCTACTTCTCATACATAAAGGTGAATCTTCTCCTTTACACGTGTTCACTTGACCCCTTCGAGAATGGTATACTACTTGACACTCCACTCGTGTGCATGCATAGGTATTGCCGGAGCTTCACGGACGACGAGGAGGAGTACAAGCGCCAAGGAACACCTACACCATCCGCGAGGGAAGCCTGGAAGAGAAGACAGAAAAAGACGGAGCTGCGGAGTCCCCAGTGGCCGGACGACCGGAAGCCACCGGACGTCCGGCGACTCCCCAGGCCACGGACGACCGACGCCCTCCGGACGTCCGGCAGTTGGGCACCCGAATGGAATCTGCGGATGTCCGAAAGCCTCCGGACGTCCGACCGATGTGCGCCCGAGCCGAATCCACGGAAGTCCGAAGGCCCCCGGACGTCCGGACCCTCTCGAGCCTCCGGACGACCGGTGACATCCGGACGTCCGACGCCTGTGTGTTGACTTCGTTTGGGGCCGCAGCCCTTGTACCCCTTCGCCCCTAGACTATATATACTCTTTCTTCCCCACCTTTCTAGGGTTAGCAAATATGATAGCTCATTCTTAGGTGAGCTTTGCTCCTACCTCTTCTCTTGAGAGAGAGAGACTACGACTCCCATGGAGTTCAAGACCTCCATGTGAGAAGATCCCGAGGGATTCAAGACCCCCTTTGTGGGAAGATCCTTCTAGGATTCAAGCCCCCATTTCCTTTGGATTTGGGATGAACTCTACCTTGTATCTTTCTCTTTGTTGTTCATGTACCTTGTGGACCTTGTGTGTTTGATTGTCTAGTGGATGTGTGATTGGACTTGTTGTTGAGTGTTTCCCCTTGTGATTTCTCCCCGTTCTTCCCCGTGTTCGTCGTGTTCTTCGAGGGATCCCACTCCAAACGTGAAAGATCATCACCCTAGGATTCCACCCTACATCATCCATCACGCATCGTGCGGCTCGGTGGAGCACCTGCGACTCCTTGTAGCAACCCGGCGACCATGCTAACCACACTGATGCCCTCTCGCAGCACGCCTTGCATGCAGTAGCGCCACCATGGCAAGCATCGGCGGCCTTCGCAACACCCCTGCGCTCGCCCACAACAGGCTTGCAGCAAAAACTTACGCCGTCTTACAAACATGCACCGGTCTGGAGGAGAGGGATCACACCAAAGCTAGCGGCAGCCATGGTGTTCGTGTGGAAAAGAAACAATGAGCGGGGGGAAGAAGAACGTGAAGACTCAAGAGAAGGTTAGTTGAGGAGAGATGCGGTATGTGGTGGCTGGGCAGTTGACGGAGCGGTGCATAACTTGGATGGACGCGTCGCATGCATACGAGGCGGCTGATTTCTTTCCAGAAATCAGCCCGATGGATTTAAGTGTTTTCCTTATTTCATTGAAACAATTAGTTGAGCAGTTCATGAGTGGCTTATAACGACCGCTAGTACTCATGAGTACTTACCAAATGCTATACGTTTTGGGCAGAGAACTTAATAAACAAGTTAACAGCGGGGATGAATAAACTTTGAAGATATCTCATATGCATTTCTAAGAAGACGATTAATTATTAAACACACTTTATTTCTAAGTAACTCCTTATTGAAAATAACTCCTTGCTAAGTAATGGGAGGAAATTCTCACTATCACAAGATGGTATGTAATGTCTTCTAGCATCGTCCCCGGCTACCGACTACCAAGCCGAGAAAGGAAGAATGTCAACCAACTCATTTGCAATGGCACGACATCCACACGGTTAGCATGACGGTTAGGCCAATCTAGCAGCTCCTCCACCGTCTCGGTTTCAAGGTCGACAACATACACGCACAAACTACTGCCCTGGGCAATCATCGTCCCGTACTTTTCTCCTAACATGTGCAAGCTTGATATGCTTTGAGTAAGCTTCTTGCCTGGTTCTTGTAACTCGATACTCCGAGTGCAGAGGCAGTTTGTAGTCTCGTCCAAAATTTCCCAGATAAGTACCCGGGCATCTTCCCTTTCGATATAGATTAGCGAAAGTGTCCCATCGGTGGAGAGGGTAAGGCACGGGCGATATCTCATGTCGTCCATCTCAAAGGGGATCCTTGTCAAGGTGATGTGGCCCGTCTTAGCTTCCATACCAACAATGCATAAACCTGGCATCATCCCTTCGTAAAAGAGCCAGTGTGCCGTGCCGCGGCACACGACGGCAGGGCCATGATAAACCGCGGTATAGTTGCTGGTAGCCTCATCGCCGAAGCATCTGCTCGCCGTGCTCCAGCTCCCTTTATCAGATGCGAACGTGTAGAGATTGTAGTCCAGGTCGATGATTACCACTTTGAAGGACGACGCATCGTTGCTCGGTGGTGGCTGCTGGTTGTAAGAGCAGCTATCCACACCACTCAAAATAGCGTACCCACTCCAGTCCAAGTGAAGGGGGTCGACCTTGCCGCACTTTAGAGGTGGTAGAACGTGGCACTCGCCGACGAGCAGATTGCACACCGCCAGGTGGACGACCCTCGAGCCATGGGAGGGAAGGCGCACGAGTAGGAGGCCGTGGCGTGAGACAAGCGGCTCCGCGTGATCTAACTTCTGGCCGGTAGGCTGCACGAAGGTGGTAAGGGCATGGCAACCACGGCCCATCGCCGACCCCGGCGCAGGGACGAAGCACGGCGCCCCCACCCCTTGTCCAGGGCGTTGCTCCCTCGTGAAGAAGCCGGTGATTGAGGCGGACGTGTCCTCCGGCCAACAGCGCCGGAGGAAGGAGGGATTTGCCACGAGGCGACGCCACAGCTTGCACACCATGGCGCACCGAAAGAGCGCCGCCATGTCGTCTTTGAGCCAGGTGACGATCTCGAGGAGCAAGTCATCGTGGAGCGGAAGTGAAGACGCCGCCCGTTTCATCTGTGCAGCTAGGACAGGGCTATGCCGGCCACATTAGCGTACGTGTGTGCGGTGTGCCCTAATATATTGTCCTATTTGTATCCAATCCAATATACTACGTATAAGATGGAGTCTGGCTTGGGTTGCTATGGAGTAGCGCACGGAAATAGGCTTCGGAGGTTGTGGCCGGAGTCCGTCTACAACCCAAACTGCCCAAGGTCTCCGACTCCGAGTACTGTACGTATGCATGGCTGGAGTTTTCTTTCTTTGAAATTCAAGAAACTCCAATAACATTTCTGGAGTATTTTTGTTTCTATTCTTTATTTTTCTGCTATTATTACAATGGGCCGCGCCACGGGTCGGCTGGCGGATACGACAACCATTAACGGAGAGCTATCCAGCGTCCAACACACTTTTTATCATTGCAACAAAGATAGTGTTGCAGAAATCCTTGGCAACAACGTTTATGTTGTTAAAACTAATTCTGTAATTAGGAGAAAATCTGCCCTTGCCCAAACCGTCGTTGCGGTTTGTCCCACAACCGACGCCTCCCTTCGATTCCTTGGAACCGATGCCCCCTTGCGATGGATCGTCGTGTCTCTTCGGGACATATAAAAGGGGTCTGTAACCATCGATCAAGACTCTCGACCACTTTTGATTCGAAACACGTTATCACGCACGTAGAACAGCCAGCGAGAGCGAAAAAGGCAACAGAGAAAGGAGAAGAGAGGGAGCACTCGCCGCCGGTGAGATGCGTGGCCTTGTTTTCTTCTTTCTCCGCCTGATCCGTGAGGACGGTCGTCGTTACCGTCATCACTACCATGACGTTGGTGGCCTCCGGCGCTTCCGTCGCAGGATGCAGGCCGTTGGTTGTTTCGGCCGTTGCACCGCTGGCCGTTATGGTCACCGCGCCACTAGACGTGGAGCCCGTGGTGGTCACCGTGCTGCTGGACGCGGCCACGGCGTCGACAGACGCGTCGCTCCTGGTGCTCGCCACGCCCACAGGCACGGCCTTGGCGTTGCTGCGCGTGCGCCATCTGTGAACAAGGTGCTCGACCGATGGCTTGTGGCCGGTCCGAGCGCCCCTATGGAGGGCGTCAACGCCAACGCCAACGCCCCGCTTCAGCAGGAGACG